AAACCTTCAGATGCCCCAAGAGCCGTTTTGATTTAGTTTTCAAATCAGGGGCTGGCTTCCTCCCTCCTCTGTTGGTGTCAGATATTTCCAAATTAAAAACATCGCCAAGTAATGGAAAGTTCCTTAAATCTCCCTCTTATGACGATTCCCTATTTACAGCCATTTATGACCGCTTGCTGCTGGCCACAACACATTTCTTCTAAGATGGAATCCCCAGTGGCTCATTTTGAGCTATTTTCCCATCCCCTTTATTGACCTCCATCCCCTTTATCTCATTCCCTTGGAAGCCTGAACCTCAATTCTCTAAATACATTAAAAAAACAAAAACTAATCCCATTTGGATTGAAGTCATGTTGTTGAATTTATTCCCAGATTTCATCATGACTTAAACAAGTTTTGTTTTTTCTCTATAATATGCTTAGAATTCAGGTGTGCCCAGGCTCAGCCTCTTGCCATCCATAGTGGTCAAAGGAGAGCTCTCAAGTTGTGCTATACTATTCCTTCTCCATCCCAGCTGACCCTACACTGTGCTCCAGGATCAGCTGCCCTGCGCTGTCTCAGCAGCTGGGCTGGCCCTTACCCACTCAGTGGCTACCAGTAGTCACCAAGTATGGCACTGCTCCCCGCCTGCTCTCCTAACTTCACCTAATTCAACATCTAAGAAACCAGCCTCTGTAGAAAAGTGGCTTCCAAACTCAATCAACACCTCAGTACTACCAAAGAACTCTGGTACGTGTGCCTGCTTATTAATTCATTTTATGGAGCACCTACTGTGTGCAAGGCATTGGGCCAGACATAGAGAGTCCATGGTCTACAGACACCTCCATCTTCTATTCCTCCTACAGCTCTTTCTAACCTACACTATTATCCTGGAGCCCCAACCCCCAACACACTCCACACTTCTCTTAGCAGTGACCTAGCCAATTTTAGATAAAGACTCCCTCAACTTTCTATGCTATTCTCACATCTATACACATACCAGCACTTTACCCACTTTGTCTCCTTCCCTCCTGCCTAAATTAAATTTCCTTAGAGGTCTTGCCCCATCAACTCTCCTCTCTTTTCTGCCTTCATTCTCATCCCTGCTAGCGGTTCTTTCCCAACAATATTTTTACATGTTGAAGTCTATACCAAATGAAAAATTCATAAATCAGTGAACTCTCGTCTAAGTCCTTCTCTGGCATCCAGCATATCTCTGTCTCTCCATGGCCAATCTTCTAGAAAGAGGAATCTATCACTTCTATTCCCACTTCATCATCTCAGCAACACTTATATAATTGGTTCTCAAATGTAAATCTATGTCCTGGATTCCTTCAGATATGATCAAATATGTACCGGATATACCACTGGTTGGATGATCTAAGGCACTTCAAACCTCACATGCCTCCAACTGAACTCATCAACTCTCCTACAGTTTGGATCCCACCTCCACCACCTACTGGCAAGTTATTGAACCGTTTTGTCATTCAACTTCCTCATTCATAAGCACCAAGAACTGTGAAGACTCTGAAATGTTACCCTACTTGCAACTAGCAAGTTAGCCTGCCATAGTTCCACGGGTGCTGGTAGGAGGTATAAACTCTTGGGTCAGACATGAAGGTGTCCATCAATTTTGACTAAGAACAGCAATGTAAACCAAAGCTTTATTCGGGGTCTTTAGAAACTGCATTTGAGTAGAAACCAAACTGTGTTCTGCGGAGGCGGGGGGTGGGGAGACAAAATTTATAGACAGAGAAAAAGAGGCTTCCAAAGTATTTTTTAAAAGAGCTGTGTTTGGTGCTGGCAAGCAGACTTACAATGTTTGATTGCTTATGTCTATTTCGAGGTAAACACACACACACACACACACACACACACACAGTTATTTTTTAATAGAAAGTTCAGTTATGCAGAGTCAGTTCCAGGAACTGCATCAGGATGTAGCCCAGTTAAAAAGTTGCAGGGCTGGGTGAAAAAGGTGAAGGGACTAAGAAAAAAACCTCATTGGCACAGAGAGCAGTATGGAGATTACAAGAGGGAAAGGGGATGGGAGGACGTAGAAGAGGGGGTAAGGGGGGTACATGGTGATGGAAGGAGAGTTGAGTTGGGGTGGTGAACACCTGAAACGTATATAATTTTATTAACCAATGTCACCCCAATAAAT